ATAAATAAATTATTATTATTATTATTATTATTCCTTTGAGAGGTCGGGGTGACTAAAGCTGTTTCACCGTCTAAACATAGGTCAAAAGAGGCCTCTATAATCTGCTTCGTTCAGTACACCTGCAGATGAATATGCGTAATGCATGTGGAATATTTTCAATATTTAATAACTCTACATGAGCGTTTGATGGTATGGTGCTCTTGATTTTTATGGAGAGTTGGACTATGTTTGGGCTTCTGTCCCTTATATAATAATAATAATAAAAATAATAATAAAAATAAAAATTTATTTATACCCCGCCCATCAGGCTGGGTTTCCCCAGCCACTTTGGGCGGCTCCCAACACAAGAAGAAGAAGAAGAAGAAGAAGAAGAAGAAGAAGAAGAAGAAGAAGAAGAAGAAGAAGAAAGAAGCAATCAAACATAAAAACTTCCCTATGCTGGGCTGCCTTCAGATGCCTTCTAACAGTCAGGTAGATGTTTATCTCCTTGATACAAGGAGGGCAGGCGTCACCACCAAAAAGGCCCTCTGCCTGGTTCCCTGTAACTTCATTTTTCACAGTGAGGGAACCACCAGAAGGCTCTCAGAGCTGGACCTCAGTGTCCGGGTTGAATGACAGGGGTGGAGACGCTCCTTGAAAGTTTTGAAATACAGTGGTACCTCAGGTTAAGTACTTGATACTTTCCGGAGGTCCGTTCTTAACCTGAAACTGTTCTTAACCTGAAGCACCACTTTAGCTAATGGGGCCTCCCACTGCCGCCGTGCCGCTGGAGCACGATTTCTGTTCTCATCCTGAAGCAAAGTTCTTAACCTGAAGCACTATTTCTGGGTTAGCAGAGTCTGTAACCTGAAGCGTATGTAACCCGAGGTACCACTGTATCCTGCTTACTGAGCCTCAAGTGCTTCCATTCAACTATACTCATCTTTCAAAATGTTCTTATGCATATGGAGCATTTGCACACGCAGCCCTTTTTATACCACTTTAGGGACGTTCTGTTTAAGCAGGTGTTCCAGCACATTCCAACAGTTGTTATGTGGCTGATTCCTCACCCAAGGCCTCTACGTTTGTTACTTGTGTATAGGGATGGGTGACTCTATCCATTCCAGTTTTTCTCAATTTCTCATCTTTCTAGTCTTTCTTAAGCTTCCACATCAGTTTGCTATTATTGTTCAAGTCACCATCCAGTTTTCTCCTAATAGGAACAAATTTCTTCTAATACGAACCAAATTGTACACAATTTTGCCTGGCGTGCAAATTTGTCAACAAAGCTGTTTCGCTCAATACTGTACATTATTTTCAATAAGATGTTCATTTTTATGCACGGTTCACCCTACCACATGAATCTTTGCAGAATATCCCCTCTGGCTCAAGATCTGCACTGCAAAATTCAGAGACATGAAAATTTCAAAGAATGGCTGTGTTTTCGCTTCCCGTGTGGTTTCAGAAAGGGCTGGTTCAGCACGGTGACATTTAATAATAATAATAATAATAATAATAATAATAATAATAATAATTTATTATTTATTATTTATAACCTGCCCATCTGGCTGGGTTCCCCAGCCACTCTGGGCGGCTTCCACAGAGACCAAAATACACTAAATGTCACACATTAAAAACTTCCCTGAACAGGGCTGCCTTAAGATGTCTTCTGAATGTCAGGTAGTTGCTTATCGCTTTGACATCTGATGGGAGGGCATCCACAGGGCGGTGCCACTACCGAGAAGGCCCTCTGCCTTGGTTCCTGTAGCTTCGCTTCTCGCAGTGAGGGAACAGCCAGGAAGGCCCTCGGCGCTGGACCTCAGTGTCCGGGGAAAACAATGGGGGTGGAGACGCTCCTTCAGGTATGACTTGGGCTGAGGCCGTTTTAGTGGTTTTAAAGGCCACACCAAACACTTTGAAATTGCGCTTGAAATTGTACTTAAAATTGAACTGAACATCTTTTAAATGTTGAACTTTAAAAATGTGAACTGGAAATTGCTTTCTTCCCCTGCCCCTAACTTTCTTTATCACTGGACCACAAGGATCCTGAAGTGCTCTGGGAATTCTCTGGTGCAGAGAGGAAGGTCTCTCTGCTCCAGGGTGTTATTGTCACAGCAACAGCAAGAGGCAGAATAATCCGTAGTAGTGTCGACGTTGTGGCCAGCCAACTTTTAGTTATGGTGTGATTTTCCAGGAACGCCTTGAGGAAAAGGGGGAGGGCATTTGCCCCCACATTTTCAGGACCATCCTGGAACTCTTGACACCAAAGGACCCTGCATCCCAAATGCAATATAAGTCCCTCATTACGTGTTCGAAGGAAAGGAACAGACGAAGAAAAAAAAGAAAAGAAAGAAAAAAGAAAGAAAGAAAGAAAGAAAGAAAGAAAGAAAGAAAGAGCAAGCAAGCCATGGCTTCAGGCTCTCTCCATGAGTTCCCTGATCAGATTTGTTCATCTGCAAGCAATGCTTCAACGATCCAGTGACAATTGACTGCGGGCACAATTTCTGCCAAGCCTGTCTCCCCTCTGTTGCCTCACTGGGAGAGGCAGCAGAGACCCTTCCTGCCTGCTGTGTGGCGAAACCGTCCATAAAGCCAACCAGCAACTGGCCAACTTGTACAGCTGGTCAGGAAACTTCAGGAGGGGGCGAAAAGGTCCAAAAGGAAGGAAAGTGAGCAAGAGTCACCAAGATCCCCTGAGGCTCCCTGCAAGGAGGATCGAGCCCCCATTCTGCACCGGTGCCAAATGCAACAAGGAGGACAAAATCCAAGATGTGGTTCTGCAGAGTGGCCGTTCAGGGCCAAGGTAGGAGGTCATCACGAAGGAAGAGGACAGGAATAATTGGGTCTCTTCCTGGAGGTTCAAGCTGAAGATATCACACACACACACACACACACAGACAGCTCAGTTGGTAGAGCATGAGAATCTGAATCTCAAGGTTGTGGTTCAATCCCCACCTTGGCAAAAGATCTCCTGCACACGGAGGTTGGACGATGACTCACAATTCTTGGTATTCCATGTACACTTCGGGCCTTTGAGCTGCAGGGAACTAGCTTTTTGTTACTTTGGGGATCTGGGAGTAAATTCGAACACCTTTTGTAGGGAGGGAATGTGGCAGCGAGCGTGGTGGAGTTTTCCTCTTTTGTTCAACTTCAGAACCTTGCCACCACTTCTAGGAATGGTCAGCCACTGCCATTGGTCATATTTGGGGAATAGCAGAATCATCTTGGGTACGAGACCAATGATGGCTAAGCACCCTTGAGCTGATTTTGAGGGCATGCAGGGGGTGGGAGGGGAGGGAGAGGGAGAGGAGGTCTCATGCATGCGCAGAAATCTGTGCCCAAGCAGAGCATGCTTTCAGCCCATGTCAGGAACATCCCAAGGGAAAGTTGTTGAAGTCTCCTTGGTGTCCAAAGTGGTAGGAACTGATAAAAAGAAGTTCTGCAGGCGTATAACTCCAGGCATGTAGGATGTTGACGTGGGTTTTAATCTGGTTTGAGTTTGGCTTCTCTTTGATTCTAATTAATTTTCTAATGTTGTAAATAGCTTCCTTTATCTCTCTGCTTTTGCCAGTAATTAATATATAATATGTGTGTGTGTGTGGTGTGTGTGTGTGTGTAAATTACTTTGAGGTTTTATTACAAAAGCGGGATATACCCTTCGCAATAAATATGGATAATAACTTAATAAATGCTTAAAACCAATCTATCAGCCACCATCCAACACACCTCAAATAAAAACAGACCAAAATCGCAACATAGCTAAATGCATCGGCAAATCGGGGTCCATATTTGTTCTGTTAAATCTGAAGCTTTGTTTCTGACCCCATTACGATAATTGGGGAACTTTTAAATGGCTATAATCTCTCTTCCTTTTTCACATAAGTGAGTGAAATATCTGAAGGGCTGTATGTACTAAGCTTGGATTTAGAACAATAGGCAGGTAGGATCCTAGAATGAATACAACTGATGGGCTTGTCAGGAAAAGACCAATCAGGCTCCAGGAGGGACAGAATCAGCCAATCAGACAGGACTCGTTGTGTAAATATGTACCGTGTTTTTCGCTCTATAGGACGCACCCAACATAGGACGCACCTTTTTTAAAGGGGGAGAACAAGGGAAAAAAAATTCTTCTCCCTCTCTGCCAGCGCCCCTTCGCAAGCGCAGGAGAAACGGAGACGCCCCTTCCATTTCTCCTCCCGCTTCACTTGAAGGGGCGCTGTGCAGCTCTCCCTCTCTGCTGAAGCCAGGGAGAGTCCTGCTCTCCTGGCTTCAGCAAAAGGAACCAAGCCTTGGAGTGCAGCGTGAGGGAGGGAGCACTCCCTCTGCGCTCGGAGGCTTCGCGTTGCTATCGCTGTAGCCAAAGGAGCCTGCATTGTTGCATAGACGCACACATATTTCCCCTTAATTTTTGGAGGGGGAAAAGTGCATACTATAGAGCGAAAAAATACGGTATATAAAAGCTGAGGTTTGGGGGCAATTCAATCACTGTTTAATACAAGCTGCAAATAAGAGCATGAAATCACTACAGGACTCTGAATATATTTTCAAGGGCTATGTCACATGTAAGAGGGAGCAAATTTGTTTTCTCCTGCTCTAGAGGGTAGATGCAAACCAATGGCTTTAATGTTACAAGAAAGGAGATTCCGACTGAACATTCGGAAAAACTTTCTGGACAGCTAGCGCTGTTCAGCAGTGGAGCAGATTCCTTCGAGAGGCGGTGGACTCTCCTTCTTGGAGGTTTATAAGCAGAGATTGGATGGCCACCTGTCAGGGATGCTTCAGCTGAGATTCCTGCATCGCAGGGGTTGGACTAGATGACCCTCGGGGGGTCCCTTCCAATTCTGTGATTTCTGCGAGTTGAACTGAACTGGCTGACCCAGAACGGTGGAGTTGGGAACCCCAAAGGTCATCCACTCCAACCCCCTGCGATGTAGGTTGGGGGGTCCGGCAGTGCAGGAGACCAGGCTTGTCACTCCCCCCCCCCGACACTGGTTCACCTCTCCCGCTTTGTCCCCCGGCAGACCCCTCTGGGCCCTGTGGGCGGTCAGGCCTCGGCCACCCCCCGCGCCTGGCTGAGTCCGGATGCCAGCGAGGCTGAATCCTCCTGCGAGATCAACGCTTACGAGCCGCAAGAGTCCCACTTTGTCCCTGGGCGGAGGGCTGGCGGGCGGAGGGGGCTGCCCCCGCGCCCTGGAGAGGGGCAAGTGGCTCATCGCCAGCATCCAGGCCCCCGACGCCGAGTTCGGGGTCCAGCAGCGTCCTGCACGACGGAGGGAGGCCCCGCCTTGGAAAGCCAGCAGGATGGGGTCAGCAGCGTCACCACCACCGCAGGTACCAGCCTGGCCGAGCGGAAGGGGAGCAGCCGAGCGGCCTAGCGGTTAGAGCCCTGCGCCAGCAGCCTGGAGAGAGGGACCGAGGGCCAGTCGGTGCTCCTCAGGCAGGCCTGCCTGGCAGGGTCAGCGCGGGGGAAGGGGAGGGGAAGGGGATGGAGGCCGCCTTGAGCCCCTGGGAGAAGGCGGGGCAGAAAGGCCATGATTTAATGAGGAATGTCCAATGTCATCGGTTCCACCCTCCTGGGGGGCGGGAGATAGGGGGCACCGTGGGGCAAGCGGAAAGCAGAAATCTCTGGATCAAATGCATCTGCTGGGTTGACTACTTTGAGGTCAACCGAGCGCAGCGTTTGATTGGCAGAGGCGCCGTCACTTGACCTCTTCCTCCGTTGCCGGGAAGTCTCAGTTTTGTGGGGGGTTCCGGCTTTGCGGCAGGTGCTTAAATGGCTGGGCCTCATCCTGCCAGGGCCCGTAGTTTGCCGACCCCTGATTCAGAATCTATTAAGACCATGGCAATATTGACAGTAAAAGCAATTGAGAAACCTCCCCACTACTACCTGACGCCTTTGATTGGCAGAACTGGCACTGGCCAATTGGACTCCCCTTTCCCACATTTGCCAAGTACAAGAAGCTCAGCTGGGAGAGCCTGAGACTCTTGATTTCAGGGTTCTGGGTTCAAGATTCCTGCCTTGCGGGGGGTTGGACTAGATGACCCTCGGTGTCCCTCCCGGCTCCAAGGCTCTTTGGAACTCCCTGCCTCTTGATACCAACCAGGCGCCTTGGCCAGACTCTCTTTGGTCGCCTGCTAAAAACATCCCTGCCCAGCGGCTCAGAAATGTTGATCTTTAGCTTTCTGCATGCTTTCAAGTATTCCTGTCCATTTCGTTGGGTTTTCTGGTCATTAACCTTTCCCTGCTTCATTTTCCTCCTCGTCGAGTTCTCTTGATTACTCATTTTTCTATTCTTTTTAAAAACATATCTCTGTGCCACTCACTGAGAGGCAGTGTGGTGCAGTGGTGAGAGGGCCAGACTAGGCCCTGGCAGAGATGTGGGTTCAAATCCCCAGTCCCTGGCCATGGTGAAGCTCGCAGGGGGGGGCGGGGGGGGTAAGGATCCAGTCTGCCTGCTTCACAGGGTTGTTGTGGAGCAATTCCTGCAATTGCAACCCCCAGCCAGCTAACGTTTTCTCTCCGAATCGGGTCAGAATCTCATGGATTTCTCTTCTTTCTGCAGTAACGGACTTTGGGCAACCCAGCTCCCGGCTTGGTTTGTTGCCTGTCTCCAGATCCCATTGAAAGGGCAAAGTGGATCGTAGGCCCCCGGACTCCTGGGTCCCCCCTCTTTCGCTGCCCAGTCTTGCCCCACCGGTCCCTTGTTGGAAGCCCCCTTCCCCTTCCTTTTTGGGGTCAGGGGTCTGCTTGGCTTCGCATCCTGCAGATTCACAGCTGTGATTTTAAGGAGGGGGCCAGATCTGTGCATAGCAAAGCCCCCCTTTCTGGCAGTCCCTGCCCCTCCTCACTTCCGTGCTGTGAAATTATTTAAGTGTAGAATTGGGAGGGGGCCCTGAGGGTCATCTAGTCCAACCCCCCGCAGGACAGGAATTGCAACAAAAGCATCTCTGAAATCTGACTGCACATGCTCTGGGAGACTCTTGACGGGGGCCTGTGTTCTCTTTGGGATTGTGGGAGAGAACCTTTTTGGAGTAGGGGACACTGACTTGAGCAAGATTGGCATATCCCAATCTGAGCAGGTGGCAGGATCCGCAGGCCACATTTACAAGCCTGGTGGGCCAGATCCAGCCCGTGGACCGTAGTTGGAAGATGCCTGGTATCCTCCATTTTTGGAGGGCCAGGAAGTGAGTGGTCCCTGCAGCTTCGCCTGCTGGAAAGGGGGCGACATGCAAGAGGCCAGCCTGGCAGGGTTGTTGTGGAAGGAGGAGCTCCTGGGAGGAAAGGAGGTGCCAGGGAAATGCCATTCTGTCAGTAAAGTGCCTCCGTCTCTCATTCCAGGTGTGTGTGGGAGGGCACACAACCGTATTTTTCTGTGTATAAGATGAGCTTTTTTGACCCCAAAATGAGGTTCAAAATTTACACAGGTAGTAATGGGGCGGGGAGGGGAATGACAAAAATCGCTCGCCCACCAGCAAGCAGGATCGGGATTGGCAGATATATGTAAATATACAGCCAGCAAAAGGGGATTCAGGGCAACAACGGAAACTATTAACCATGCAACCTACGATCTCGTAAGAGGGAGACTCTGAGGAAAGGGGATTAAGATGCCTTCTTCCCCATCCCCAGTGGATTAAAATGTCCAAAGATTAGGAAAAGAAGAGGAGGAAGCAGGATTGGATGAACATTCAAAGAGACCGTAATTTGGGATTGTGACTCGGCTGAGATTTGTTGGAACAGTTTTAATAAGGCTTTACTGAAACTGGAGAAATACCAATTTGGATTATTAGACAATCATTATAAGAGTCATATTGAACTGTCTGAGTGGATAAGATGTGAAGGCTGGGCTAGGGAGGGAGATGTAGGATGTAGGAAAAGTCATCTTGCTGAAGGGTAGGAAAAAGGCTGGATACTAAATGCAGCTGGGATTATTCTGGAGAGCATATTCTGAATAATTGCTGCTACAGATGATTTTCAGACGGCTATGGGAGTTTCCTTTTCATCTCTTTTTGTATTTTTTATATTAAGATGCCTTTATTTTGAATTTAGGACACACACAGGAATAGGAGAGTTGGAGGTGCGAGGGACCTGCAAGGAACGCAGGGAAGGAAGGATCTCTCAGGGTGGGAGATGGGGAGAAGAGGGGGTCACACAGGGGAGAGGTGGGGGTGGCCTGTCTATGGGTTGATGAATGATATGATATATATATGATGATCTTGTCCTCTGTCGCCCCCTTCTCCTTGTGCCCTCCATCTTTCCCAACATCAGGGTCTTTTCCAGGGAGTCTTCTCTTCTCATGAGGTGGCCAAAGTATTGGAACCTCAGCTTCAGGACCTGTCCTTCCAGTGAGCACTCAGGGCTGATTTCCTTCAGAATGGATCGGTTTGATCTTCTTGCAGTCCATGGGACTCTCAAGAGTCTCCTCCAGCACCAGAATTCAAAAGCATCAATTCTTCGGCAATCAGCCTTCTTGATGGTCACACTCTCACTTCCATACATCACTACTGGGAAAACCACAGCTTTAAGTATACCGACCTTTGTTGGCAAGGTGATATGATACAAATGTGATAAAGGGTATTTTTAGTTATCCCCCCCTTTCTCTTTTCTATATAATTGTGTTTTGTAAGCGTTGTTTAATAATTTTAGCTTTAGTATTTTTCTTTTTTGGTTTTCTCTCTGTATGAATTTTTTGATGGGAAGTGAGGCGACCGTTCTGAGTGAAGCTCTTCCCACATTCCAAGCACTGAAATGGTTTCTCCTCTGTGTGAATTCTGTGATGGGAAGTGAGCTCAGGCCCCTGGCTGAAACTCTTCCCACATTCGAAGCAATGATAGGGTTTCTCTCCTGTATGAGTTCTTTGATGGGTTTTGAGATTCGAGCTTTTACTGAAGCTGTTCCCACATTCCAAGCACTGATAGGGTTTCTTCCCGGTATGAATTCTTTGATGAAAAGTGAGACTGTTTCTGACACTAAAGCTCTTCCCACATTCCAAGCACTGATAGGGTTTCTCCCTGGTATGGACTCTTCTATGCAAAGCAAGATCACCTTTCTGACGAAAGCTCTTTCCACATTCCAAGCATTGATGGGGTTTCCCCCCTGTATGAATTCTTTGATGAGAAGAGAGTGTGGCGCTGTGCCTGAAGGTCTTCCCACATTCCAAGCACTGAAACGGTTTCTCGCCTGTATGAATTCTTTGATGAGAAGTGAGTGTCTTACTGTGACTGAAGCTCTTTCCACACTCATGGCATTGAAAAAGTTTCTCCCCTGTATGAATTCTGTGATGGGAGGTGAGATGGGTTACCTGACTGAAGCACTTTCCACATTCCAAGCACTGATAGGGTTTCTCCCCTGTATGAATTCTTTGATGAGAAGAGAATGTGGCACTGTGACTGAAGCTCTTTCCACATTCCAAGCACTGATAGGGTTTCTCCCCTGTATGAATTCTTTGATGGGAAGTGAGATCGTGCCTGAGACTGAAGCTCTTTCCACATTCCAAGCACTGATACGGTTTCTCCCCTGTATGAATTCTTTGATGAGAAGTGAGAGTCTTACTGTGACTGAAGCTCTTTCCACATTCATGGCATTGAAAAGGTTTCTCCCCTGTATGAATTCTTTGATGAGAAGTGAGATGGGTTCCCTGACTGAAGCTCTTTCCACATTCATGGCATTGAAAAGGTTTCTCCCCAGTATGAATTCTGTGATGGGAAGTGAGGTGATCTTTCCGATTGAAGCTCTTTCCACATTCTCTGCACTGATACAATTTCTCCCTACTCTGTGGTCTTTTGTGTGAAGTGAGGCTATCCCTCTGAACGAAGCGCTTTCTTTGATGGGAGGTGGACTGGGAGCTCTGACGGATCTTCTCTCCACACTCTGAATATTTATATGACTTCTCCACTATGTGGATTCTGTTGTGGTCTCCCTTGTTCTTCCCTTCTAATTCATCACTATCTGCAATGAAGAGAGAAGCGAATTAGAGCCTCAGGAAGAAATGGAGCTAAAGTTTATTCAACAACGTTAATGAATGCTTGTGATAGAGGAAGAACTGAAGAGAATTACCGTATTATTCGCACCATAGGACGCACCGGACAATAGGACGCACCTTGTTTTAGAGGGGGGAGAACAAGGGAAAAAAATTCTTCTGCTCTCTGCCCAGCGCCCCTTCAGCAAAGCGGCAGGAGGCTCTGCGCAGAGAGTGGGAGAATTTTCCCCCTTTTGTTTTCCCGCTCTAAAACAAGGTGCCGTTTAAGGCGCGTTCAGGCGGCTACCTTGGAAGCCTGGAGAGCGAGAGGGGTTGGTGCGCACCGACCCCTCTCGCTCTCCAGGCTTCAGGTTCCTTTCGACCTGCTCTTTGGGGCTGGCGGGGGAAGCCCACCACCA